CACATTTAGCCACTGACATCAGCTACAGTCATATTTCAGGCAGTCTCTCTGTGGTGACACTAATTCAGCTTCTAAGGCTTGGGGTTTTTTTCCAGTTTTTCAGCACTCTGAAAGTTCTGCTTTTCAAAACTTAATTCCAAGGCAAAAGGCTAACAGGAAGAGGCGAGCTCACCTCTAGGACCAAAAAGAGCTTTTTTTGCAGCAACTGACTTCAATGCTAAAGATGTACTCTTCTGTCATGCAACCTGACCTTAAAGTCAAAGGCTCACCATGACAGCACAGAGAGCTACAAGCATTTTCTAACTTTGTTCTCTTTGTACTAATATTAGAATAAAATGTTTGGTCATCCTCCCCAGCTATTTTGCCTTAAGATCCTCTCCTGAGACTTCATGTTAATGTATCCTTTTTTTTTAGCTTGTCTTACAGGTCGCTAATCTGTCTCTTCTACAAAGCCACAGCAAAATTTAAAAAAAAAAAATAACGTATTTCCTGGAATGAGCCACTTAGAAAATTATTTAGCACAAAGAGAGAATGTATCCCAGCAGAAAAGGACCTGGTCAATAGCCAGCTGAACATGAGCCACCAGTATGTCCAGGTGGCCAAGAAGGTCGATGGCATCATGGGTTATATTCAAAATAGTGTGGCCGGAAGGGTGAGGGAAATGATTGTTCCCCTGTACTCATGAGGCAGCACCTTGAGTGCTGTGTCCCTCGCTTCTGGGTCCCTCGCTGGAAGAAAGCCCTTGAGGGGCTGGAGCAAGTCCAGAGAAGGACAATGGAGCTGGTGAGGAGTCTGGAGCACAAGTGCTGTGAGAAGCAGCTGAGGGAGTAGCTGTGTTTAGTCTGGAGAAATGGAGTCTCAGGGGTGACCTTATTACTCTCTACAACTGCCTGAAAGGGGGGTGTAGCCAGGTGGGTCTGAGCCTCTTCCAGTCCCAGCCCAGCCTTGGCCTTGTCTCAGGGAGGTCCTCAGTGTGGGGCTGGGGTGGTGAGCTATCCTGGCTCCCATTTCCAGGAAGCAGAGTTCTCATCAAATGGTCTTCTGAGACAACATGACCCAAACAGGTTTTTTTTTCAGTGAATCCAATCTTTTGCACCTCCATATGAGCATAGTCCATGCACATATATGCTCCTATGCAATGCTCTGCTATTTTTTTCTCTCATCTCTACAATGTACTGAATAATAAGCTTTGGAAAGTGCCAAGAAGAAATTTTCTTTGTGTAATTATTCAGCTGTTTTCCCCACCACATTTTTAGTATGTGTGCTGTTTTCTTCCTCCAAGCTAAAAAAGAAATAGTTTTAAAGCATGTGTCTGATCTGAAAGGATGTGGTTGGGAAGAAGTTTGTCACAGAGACTTTTGTGTTCAGATAGCCTAACAGGAACTCAGTATATTGCCATTGATTTTCAAGTGGTTTCAACATGGTCTGCCCCCAGACTCTGTATCTTGAGGAATAATTGTTTACTAGTTAGCCATAATGCAAAAAGAGTTTAAATGGTCACATTTTAGTGGCAGTGGTAAGATTGCAATTGAATTCTTTTAGTATTTTTTTAAACCTTCTTTCAATGTACACCATTAGAAATCCTTTGACTCTTTGAAAATTAATATCAAGCTTGCTGCTTAAATTCACTGTATTCCAAGCCAAAAATTGTTCACAATTGCATTTGCCTTGAGCAGAATACTGCGTAGGTTATGAAGTCCATCTAATAGAACTACCAAAGAAAGACAGGAAAGAAGGAATTTCCCTGATTTGCCCACAGCAAAACTATTAAGACATGCCAGTGAAACACTAAGAGTTTTTTTTAAGTTCACACAATATACCTATTTGACGTCTAATAATTAATAATTTATTGCAAAATCTTACATTACAAGCCCACTGGCTCAGTGGACTCTTGGACTTGATCCAAGGCCCTTTAAAACACTGCATTTTTTTTCTTTTGAAGTAACTGTGTCTTTTGATACAACTGTGCTTTGTGTCCAGCCCCAGTCTGCATCATTCCTGACACTTTCAAAACTAAATTAATGTTTTATATACAAGCCAAACATCCTATTTTCACCATGGGGAAAATAAGAGGTTGCCTTCAGCTCTTATATATCCTTATGCTCCCAAGTACTATCGATCAGTGCTAAAGCTTTCTTCTCTTCTTTAATGCCCTTTGCTACAGGTCCAGACTCTTTTGCAGAATAACCCTTCTTTTGCAGAATAACTCCATTAAAGCAGGAGTTCAAGCAGGAGACAGCTCCATGCTGCTTGTTTAACAGAAGAAACCATCACTGAAGATGCTGAACCTAATTTATGTGTTGCTAAAAACCTTCCTTTTATGTTTTTAGTAAAGGATGTTTGAGTTTTGTCCTGGGTAACAAATATGAGCAGGTATATTTTGACTAGCATTAAATTTAGAAATACCTATCCTCCCTCTTCCTACTGTCTTAATTTAAACACTGCTCATCATTATCTATTTTTGAACTATCTATCCAGGTCCTCTTCCCATAAAACTTTTGTGAAAGTTGGGAAGGCCTGAGTTTGAAAAGATATCAATATACTTTTTCATTCAAAATTCCAGTAGGAAGCTTCAGAGCACAATCAATGCACAAGAGCAAGGTAAGCTGCAAGCAACCTTTATTTCTGTCCTTTTCCTATCTATAATAAAATCATATTCTACTGGAAACAGAGTTGACTTTCCAGGCATATGTCAGGCTCAGGGGAAGCAATTAGATGTAAAGCAGGCCACCTGGTATGACAGTAATTAGACTCTAGATCTGTTGTTATAAGGACCCAAAGTCGCACTGTGAAATTAGCTCAGAACTTTAATTAAACTTGTAGTAACAACTAACTTTTATTTCTTAATTATTCTGGGTTTTTGGTTTGGTTTTTTTTTTTTTTTTGGCACCCAGCTGAACAGAGGGCTGAATGGCTCACTAAACTAGTGAAAAGAAAAATATTTCCATCTGTATTAGTAGACATCAGAATCACCTTAGCTGCTATGAGTGGCTATTAGCACAAGTATCTCTCTGGCTTTTTGGCATCTACAAAGAATTAATTAAAAGGCTTAAACTGGTGTGAAGTTACCATTTCCTACTGTCAGTTTAGACACCATAAAGGCAAGAAAAGTAATGATAAGCTGTACCTACATTACTATTTGCAGTTGGGTTTGGGGCATTTGGTAACTCTTCTTGGTGTACCTATTTACCATGCACAGATCACATTGACAGAGCTTATTTGGTGCAAACAAGTGAGATTCTTCCAGAAGAAATTGAACCAGCAAGTCAGATTCTCACCTATATCAGGTGCACTCCACACCTGTATGGACATAAACAGTGAATCAAAACATCTCTAAAGCCTTGGCATAGCAAGGATATACAAAACTAATTTTAGTCAGACCTGCACACCTTAAACTTTGCATTATATAAATGTCAGATCTTCAGCAGCAGATTTTTCAATCCACTAAAATGGTCCTGTTGCATCAAATTTCTCAACATAGTAATGAGAGACAATGGATCACTGGGATTTTTTAGCACATGAAGTACAGGGAGGGAATGTTAACAAGATATCTTCATTTTCATCTATCTTTGCATGGCACTTTGAAGAGAATTATATGAACAACTACCTAAACAAGTCCCAGTAAACATACTCCTTTGTAATGGAAAGTTGGAACAACACATAATAGACAAAGTTTGGGTACATGAGGGATATTACTATTTTAATAGCATTTGTTCACCTAGGTGCTGGATTTAGGGCTCTGAGATCGAATTCTGCCTATCAGGATTCTCCTGTACAATCTAAAAAATCTGTGTACACACTTGCCAGTGTTATTACTACTGGCATTAAGTATTAATGCCCAGGCTTTTATCCCACAGCATCAAAGTAAGACAAGAGAAACAGGATCCAGTGATCCCTACTGACAGATGAATGCTGCTGAAACCAAAAGCGGCTCTGTCAGCGTTCACTGGGACGTTTCCCTCATCATACCCAATACCATCTGGCATAACATGCCAAGAAAGACAGATATTCTTGCAGAATATGCTGCCATCATATTCATCTCCACAGCTGCATGAGAAAATGCAAAAGAATGGACACTTGTGGAGGAAGAATTTTGTTCTTTATCTGCAGGCAACCTCAGCTATTACACAACGTAATGCCATATTTTCTGTGCATCAAAGGAAAAATTCTACTATTTAATAGTAGTAGTAGTTAACTCGTGCTTTATATCAAAGATTATAATTTAGTAGTTATGAGCTTAGAGCCAAAAGATAAAATTCATGTAAAACTTCTGGGTTGGGCAAATGGATTTTTTTTTTTTTTTAATTTTTACTCCATACAGGAGACATTAATTGGGATGCTCTGTATTTTAATCATTACTGTATAAAACCTGTCAATAAAGCTCATCTGGTCCATTCCTGTTACCAAAGCACAATTCTTTCCTGAACTACATAAACACTACTTCAATATTGTAGGATTTTATTGTTATAATACTTCTATTTAAAATAGTGATAATATACTTAATTCAGGTTTCTAAACAGTGTTAATTAATCTAATTTTTGCTTTTCATCATTCATGTTCTTAATTACTCCTAATTTATCTCCTCTTTGGATAAGAGAAGTTGCATGATCTGATTCTCAACAAATAGGATGGCAATACTGGTGTGTGTCTTATCTTTAGACTTGAGATATGTACGATATTGCTACAATAATGTTTAAAAGTTTTCTTGCATTTTGAAGAACAAAAATAATTTTTCGGTACATGCAATCCCTCTATTTACAGGAAAAGATTAAATGCACTGATGTCAACAGAGTATTCTATAAAATCGACAGCAAAACAAAATTCCTTTTAACCCCACAGGTGAAAAGCTTTATTAAGTTTTTAATGACCATTGCCATCATATTAGAATCATATATTTACAAGCAGTTACTAAAAAACTAAAAAACACATTGGCAACTTCTGTGAAGTTCAAGAAACATCGAATGCACTCAAGCTTCCCTGATAAACTTTTTCGTACATACCTTTTACCCAGCTGTGTCTTCCTTTGCCTACTTGGTCATAAATTTTGATGCACTCTCCCAGACAACTAGAATCTGCCTTTTACATTTATACTTCAAAAGACAAAAATAGTATTTTCTGAATTTATCACCAATCTCAACAAGATCCTTGCAAGTTTTGCACGATGCCTGGACAAACACAACTGTTCCTGAGAGACCAGTCCTGAAGGCAAGAGACAAGATTCTGCTCAAGTGAAAATCTGAAGTAGCATGGTGCATTGACAGAAAAAAAAAAATTGTTCCAAGGTATGTCAAATTTCAGCTCCTGAACAAGCCAAAAAGAACATCCTGCATGACTATCCTGATGGAGATAGGGATAAAAAAAGCCACTTCCAAGGCAGCCAGGTCTCAGCTTCTCATAGATACTACTCAGGTCCCAGAAGCACATTCAGAAATTGGTTGGCAGGTAATGCAGTGCACAGAATTGACTCATAGTGTGCTCCCCACAGGACATAAAACTGAGCAGAAGTTACAGCTATTCCCTGCACCAGCTAATATTTTTGCATGGTATTTTAGTGAGCATCCTGCAGCATGGCACAGAATAGCAATATATTATTAAAGCAAAAATCCCTAATTGAATAATCAAAGCACCTCACACATCTTGCCAAAACGTCCATTATCAGAGTCCACCTACACTGTTCTGTACCCCCCACAGAACAGCTCACAGCTACACAAGGCCTGCGAAACTGTGGCTTCTAGCCAGCTTCTCTCTGCAAAAGAAATGCTGTGAGGAGCACAGTTCTCCTCTAAGTGATAGGAACATATCACTTTAAGAGTTTGACAGTCTTCTTTGAAGTAGGTCTAACAAAATAAATGAAGAGGTGAAAGAAAATCAGACTTTCAAAGCAAAAGGTTTCATATTTGTGTATGTATTTGCACATTCCCCAGCATCAGATGCCAGCTCAGTGTGAGGAAGAAACAAGACACTGAGGGACTGATATTAGCCAACTACACCTCTTTGTTCCTGGCTGTCCAGCCCAAGTGGAAATTAGAGTAGCTGAGGTTATAAAATTCCTACAGTAGATGTGAAATAATTGTTTTTTAGCCAAAGAGGGGGTGACAATGCCTAAATACCATATATTTCATCAATTGACTATTTCAGAAATTTGTGTTATTTTTTACTTGATGCATCAACTCAAGAATAACTAGAAGCCAAATTGTAAAAAATTCTGATTTTTAATATTTCTTTTTCTATTGCATTTTTAAATTCAGTGTAATATTTTAGCTACAATTTTGAATGCACTTTAAAGTTATAAAAAGTTAAAAGTAGTGAAGGGGAAATGACTTTTTAAACTCAATCTCAAACAACTATGTGCAATCTTTGAGTCATTAGCTAAACTTCAGATAATTAAAGTAGAACTTCAGCTTTTTTTTTTTTATTTCTTTGATGGGAACTAAATGCAAATTTTGAAATTAAACTACATCACGGCTACAGGAAGGGGGAATTTTGAGGCTGCTAAGCAATGGCATAGAATAGCTCTTCCTTGGTGACAGCAAACTCAGTCATCTGGCACTCTGTTTAGAAGCCATGAATTTTCACCTCCCTGCCATTCTCCCTGTCATGACAAGGCAATTCCTCACTAGCCATGGAAGTGGACAGTTAAATTGTTATTGAATCTCTGCAAAGCTTATTTATGAATCTGGGTCATCTCTCAGTCACACTGATGCAAAGCATGCTATCTTTCTTCATTTTCATAATGCTACTAGATGTACAGAGAGAGAAGAAAGAGCTGGATTAGGCTAAGCATTTTCTGCAGAGGAAAACCTGCCGGGGTCTCAGCACTGCCTTTACAGAGCATAGCAACAGTGCTCAGCACTGATTCAGCAGGGAGGCCAACATCTCAGCTCCTCACCACTGCATTCCAGCTGGAAGTTCATGCCAATGAATGATGTATTAGACAAATAAAATGGATCTCAGTGCATCACAAAGAGGAGAGGGGCTTTTGATGGGGTTTTTTTGGTAAATTCTATTATTTAGATATTTTATATGGGATTGCTTGCTTAATGGCTTAATACAGCTGTCTGAAAATATGTCAAGCTCTCAGGGAGGCAGCCTCCTAATAGCCCTTAAAGCATCAATTTCAGAGCATATTGTAAACATTACTAATCCCTTCAAAATCCCTCTAAGGTACACAAGTCAATATCATTATTATTATTATCACTTTTTCTTTTTTACAGTTGTTGAAATTGCAATAGAGAAATATGATCAGACTTCATCAGCACTACAATGAGGAGGGCAGGTCCTCGTGTGGCATAACACTTGTTAATGCTGCTGAAATCAAAACAGGAATAAAACCATTGTATTTTCTAAGAGCCTACGCTTACAAAATGAGAGCTCCTTAATTGTCATAGTGGGTAATTTCAGAAGGAGACAGGGATCTTACAGAGAGTAAATGAATTGCAAAGACTTAGATCTTTGCTACCTAACAGCTATTAAATAACATTTTGAAATAAATAGCATTTAAATACTTTTCAAAAGAGATTGCTGTGATTGCCCCAGAGATGTTACACAGAGCTGGCTGCAGCTGTGACATGCTGGGGACCGATGTTGTGCTATACACTTTTCCTTACAATGCAAAGGTGCATGAATGAGGCTCTAAACACACCAAAGGGTTTCAGGAAAACAATCTCGTGACTGTGAATATAAAGGAAATTAATAATTAATTAAAATCAGTGGAAAACATCTATTGTGTCCTGTTTTCTGGTCACTGGCAAGCTACATGCAAATCTTGTTTATCTCCCCCCCACAGACATTTGTTCTTACCTAGTTGACAAAAGTGGGTACTGGTTCTCTCCTTGCAGTAAGAAGCAGCACTGCAAGGGCCAGGGCAGAACCAAGTCTATGAGTTTTATATTTTCCTTCCCTCACTACAAGGAGCAATGTGGGTGAAGTAGAAGAATCAATGATGAGTGAGGATCAATGAGCACAGGGCAGGAAATCAGTAGTGACCAGAGTGGGTTGACTGCTCCATTTTATTAGGCTTCTACAAAAGAATAGAGGGGCAGTGAATTGGGAGCCACTCTTGTCTCTAAAGGTATATGAACAGTGCAACTTGACTTCTCTTTTCCCTATATATCCACATAATAGGCATTCAGATTTTTCCCAAAATCCAAGCCACGATTTGCGAGTATCAGTTTATTTCAGGAAGGTGTTGGGTCTTTGTGAACACTCACAATAATCCTGCTTGAATACACAGTAATATTATAATGTATTAACATCTGTAAATAACAAGTGACACAAGAGAGACCCAACACAAATAAATTTCTAAGCCTGTCACTGTATATAACTCAGCTGCTTTACCTTATGCAACACTAAGTGGCAGAGTTTTAAAGCCGTCAGAGCGAGTTAGTGGTGATGATATAAGGATGTATAAGGAGAGGAATTACTCCCTGCTCTTTGCTGGCCTGCTGCACTAACTGGCCACTTTTGGATGAGAAGCAAGACCTGCTCTAGAAAAATCTTGTAGCCCCTGCAGGTTTGCAAAGACAGCCCATGGAATCTGGGTGCACAAATGTCCCAGGACTGAATCCAAGCCACTCTCCTTTTGAGGAAGCCACTGTCAGTCTTCCCATAAGAATAATGTTTTGAATGCTAATCTCCAAGGTAAGGTTTAAAATAATTTGATTTAGAAGCTAGTGCCTCTCTAACCCAACACTGATTCTTTGTTCTGCCCAGTGCCTTGGCTGAGAATTTTACAGAAAAAAAAAAAAAAAAAAAAAAAAAAAAGGAAAGCTTTATTTACTCAAATATTGCTTTCAAAACAAGAAAAGCTGAACTGTCTTGGAAAAGACTTCATTAGTGAATTGTCAGAGGCAGCACAACCATGGGAATAAATGTATAGGTAGGATGAAGCTGTCTCTTTGAATCATAAATTGTCTGCAAACAGAAAATCACACACTAACGATTCTCTAAAGAACACTCATCTCCAAATGCAGCTTGCCAAGTGTCAAATACATTATTAACGAGAAGTAAAAACTAAAATAATTCCTCCCTAGATTCTCCATGGGGAAGTGAAACTTTATACTGTCCTTAATACAAAGTGCTTTACAGGCACAATGCAATCCTGTACTAATGCACTACCTATCAGAACTGATATTTAAACACCTTCCCACTGTAGAATTTTGAAGCAAGAGCAACAATTTTAACTTCTATGGCAACTTTATCCAAGGTTCCTTGAGTCATTTAAAAGCAATAATGAATTAAAGCTCCATGAGTTAAAGGCGTAGTGACAGCAATTTCCACAAGGTAAATCAGACAGACTCAAGGTGCCATACAGGGCTGTGCACAGGGCAACAGGCCTGGAAACTGGATCCCTGGGGCATCCCTGCATTAAGTATCAGATACTTCACTTCCCCACCCCACCTATAACTCCTAATTCTCGGCAAATTCTCATTACAACAAAGACACCATGAAGTGGTTTTAGTTATTGACAATAAATGCACACTTATCTCCAGGTGCTTTTGTTTTGTTTTAATATGCATGGGGGTTTTGCCTTTTACTGAGATGATCTTCCTTATTACTAAACAACCGAGGAAGTAGAGAGTTACCAGGGGCTGCCTACATTAGTCTCAAATGTCTTTTCAGCGTATTAAAGTGTTTTCAATTACCTCCTAATATACCTCCAGGGAGCCTAGGAGAATGGAAGGATTAGTAGAGTAATGAGTTTAAATTATTCAAGGGTTTGGGTTTTTTCCCCCCTCTTATTATGTGACTTTGTTGAATTTAATCCTAGACCAGAGATATTTGACAGTACAAGACAGGTTATAGCTAATGACTAATCTTGATCCCAAATCAAGGGGTTGCGAGAAAAGAATGTAAAAAAGCAAAGTGCCCTACCATCTCCAAGATGACACAGTAAAAATAATATAGAGGTCTGCTTTATTTTGCATTGATTGAACCAATATTTCTGTTTTAGATGTTTCTAAAACTGATAAGACACATAAATGGTAGATGAATTTATCAGGCAGGAACATCCATGAAGAAAAGAGGTCAAGTGATTAATTTTTACTTTATTGCATCATGACATAATAAAACTCCAAAACTCAGCCAGATGAATCAAATATCAGCAGAGAGTGAACTGAGGTAGCTGATATTTGTGTAGTTCTCTGTGGTAGCTTCTGTTATGGGTGTTACAACCCAAATATGTGAAGATCCCAAAGCTATTAGATGTATTTTAACCTCAATGTCATGATGAAGTAGAGAAATTTGATTTTTATTACATTCAGGAATTGGAGACACAAAAATCATACTCTAAAGTTCACACTGAAAGTTTGAGAAGACCAGTAATTCAATTAAAATCTCCTGAGCCCTCCTTATATCCCTGACGGGACAACAATCCACACAAAGCAATAATGCCAAAAAAAACCCAAAAATGAAAACCATACCATGGTTCTAGAAGGAAGAAAACACATGCTTTAAAGAAGATATCTATCATGGCACAGCCTTCCAATCACAGTCTTAGCCTTTTTTTTTTAATCTGGTATGTTGCACTCGTGGTCCTGTTTGTGCTGTGGGCTGCTTTCAAGTCTTTCCTTCTTCTTGCAGTTTTCTGTTCCACCTGGCTATTGTTGAAGGCAAATCTAAATTAGCTGCCAAGTTA